GTTGAGAGGCACTTCATGCGTGTGCTCTTCACCATTACTCTCCGAGTAGAATGGGAATTGTTGGAACAAACACCTTTTAAACAAATGCAAAATCTCTTTGATTCAGTAATAGTGATTTTATGCTTACATTTGCTGTTTTTGCTTGTGTTCATATCTAAACGGTTGAGATGATCAACCACAAAGAAATGTGTTCTTGTAATGCATTCAGTGGTGGTGGACATTTGCTTAGTTTGGAAGAACAAGTAGAATAGCAAAAAAGCTGTCATAATTTAATTAGGATACATTAATTTTGTACTTCAGTTTTTAGCCTTAGATGGAGAGATAGAAAGACATTTTGGGCATATGCCAGAGCATTTATGCTCCTTGTATAGAGCACTGGCATATGTGGAGCTTGTATCCCCTTCTGGGATGCCACTGTGGTGTGCAGGTATTTTATTCAGACTAAAACTTTTGATCCTATTTAGACAGTCCCTATAGATCTTTCTAAAAATAGTTTTGAATTATTTTGATTTTTTAATGTATATTTGAAAATACCATGTACCTTTCTAGTGCTTTTTCAGGTTCTGTTAGCCTTTATGCAGATAACTATCTGAGTAGCCATCTGAATTAGCACAAAACCTGTTACTTCTATGCTAGTCCTCATTTGTAGTTTCTTTTTTTTTTTCTGTCTTTGATTATTTACTTCACGGTTACCTTCCTTTGTGGTTGAATTTTGTCATCATTGGATTTCCATTTAGTATGTTCCACTATCCCACTCTCTGTCTTATATATGAGTTCCCTGTAGAGGTGAACTTACAGTTGTCTGATTTGCGCAAGACCAAGACCTCTCTGGAGGCTGTTAGGATTTGTAGTAGCTGAGTATGATCTGGTAGTATCTCTGCACTAGAAGGTAGTATTCATTGTGGTGGGCTTCCATGCTGTTGATTGTGTGTGGTTTCTGCATCAGAGATTTCAGGACAGGATGAGGATCTTGACTATTATCACTTTTATGCCTGTACCACATGAAGAGTGTTCCGGAAGAACAGAGTCTGGTGATTACACAGGGAATATCTTTAATATCTTTCCTTGGCTTTTCATCCCTGTGTCTTTTCTACATCTCTGTGAAAGCGGTTTTCACAGTAATGACTTTCTTTCTGTTCCCACTTCTTTCTTGTTTCCTCTCTTGCACAAGGAAGGAAGTGGAACTCCTGAACTCCAGTCCCTAGTCCCTTCACCTCTGTTTCAGGACTGATGTGCACGTACCCATCGGTTGCTGCAGAAAATAATCCAGGTGCTTGTGCAACGTTCCACGTGTTGGAGGAGATGCTCTTGTTGGAAAGCTACTGCTTTACTGAGCTGCCTGCCTGGCTGGTGGTGAGGGACCTTAGTGAGGAGGTTGCAGGAGAACCAGTTCCTGCTAATTGACAACATCCGTTTGACACTGGAGGAATTCTGAAGTTTAGGATCTTGGCCATGCATGTGTCTATGACTTAGTGAGGAGCAGTAAATGCTTACTTTTTTTTTTTTCCTTGAAAAATATTTTTGCATTGATTTGTTACTCTCAAAAGAGTGTTTTTTCTGTCAATGTTTCAGTCATTCAGCTTCTCTCAAGGAAGCAACGTTTTAAGTTTTTCACAACCTCCCTGGAGGAAGTCCCTCAGTGAAACTGACTCTGCCGGGTTTGTAACAGGATGAAGGTACCACTTCAGTTTTCTGATGACCTTGCGTAGTCTGAGTAGTGAATGAGAGTGACTACCAATTGCCTATAAGAGAGATATCTTAAAAGTCTGTAAGAATGGCCATGTAAAAGGTCTCTAGTTCTTGAATTGATCGTGACTTTGCATGAATTGCTTGTCAATTTTACTTTTTGATAACATGTAGATATCTTTGCCAATCTACTTGCTCCCTTCTGTGCCTTCCCCTGTCCTACCCTCTCCCTGCCAAAAAAAAAAAAAAAAAAAAAAAAGGAAAAAGGAAAAAACAGTAGAAAATGTCTCAGCAATGGCCAAGAATGCTCTGAGGGAGGTGTGCTGTAGAAGGTAATATCAGTGACCTGGTGGTACAGCTTTGAGCGTAATGCACAATGGTGTTCTTCAGTGAGTCAGTCTCCTTTACAAAATGTAGCCACGCAGCCCATAGGAAGAAGTATTAAAGCTTGCTTCAAAACCAAGTCCCTGTTTCTGGCAAAAAGCAGAAATGTGTAAATGCAGGAAGAGTCATTTAGCATTCAGACTCCTGTGGGAATTTAACTGGGGACAAGGAATAGGCACTGAAGCCAGTAATAATTTCTGTGTTCGGAGCATGGAAATTAGGGGTAATAAATTTAAATAATGGTTAGAGTTTCTTTTTCCCATATAACTTCTATAAGAATTATTTGTTTTGCAAACCATTACCTTTAAAGAGAGGTATAATGTTCCCCTTCAACAGCAGAATGCAAGTGAAGCTCCTGTGTGTGTTTGGTGTGCTGGCAGTTGCTGAGTTCCTACTAGTGTGTGCTTTCGAGTATGTAAACTCTTTGTGTCTTTTCTTGTCTTTTGCCCTATGGACAGAAGATGTGCTTTCTCAGGACAGAAGACTTGATTCTACAGTGCCCTGGTGTGTCCAGAAGTAGCTTGAGTCAGGAGTGCTTAATTCCTGGCAGACCCAGAAGTGGTCTATGAGTGAATCTGGCTAAATAGTTTTCTATCCCAGCCTGTATTCAGTAACTGGAGAAAATCTTGGGTTTGGCTTTTCTGTCTTGAACTGCTACCAGAAACTTTCTTAACTATATGCTGACAAAAACGAGAAAGTTTCAAATATTAAGGTTGGTGAATGAATGACATGTTACAAGGAACTGCAAATAAAGCATTTTCCAGAGAATGCTACATGTACACCCCCAGATGTATCGCTTTCACCATGATCAGGGAGTTTTGTATAAGATTTGGGGGTATCAGGCAGTCCCAGTCTTGTTATTCAATTAGAGTATAAAACCACTGAAATTTTCTTTGACAGCTGAGAACTCAAATTTGCATTTCACCGCAACATTTAGTTGTTCTCCCTCTCACAAATGTCAGTATTAGCCATAATGTCCTTAAACATTTTTTTCATATGCATTAAAAGAGCTAAACCATGTGGCATTCTTCTTTCTTTCCTCCTTTTGAAGTCAATACTTTGCAAAGTAGATGTTCGTGTTTTTGTTCAAAGAACCCTTTGCATAACTTACAGGCCTTAACATGGTAGTTGATACATTGTCTAGAAGCTCATGAATTTGTTTTTTAGAGAAAGCATCATTGTTCTTACAAGGTATGACTCAAATTTTTTCCTCTCTTGGACCTTTGAAACATGGACGTGTTAGTTATTGAAGGCCTATACTGGAGATCTGCGATGTGTTGTTCAGCTATAGAGATGATGAAGATGCAATGTTATGTCGTGGAGATTAGTAAAGCAGAACCTCTTCTTTCGACATTGTCTTTATTGAACAGACCTTTCAATAAAGGGGGGAGGATATGAGTACAAGTTTCTCTTGAAAATTCACACCAGTGTTTTTGCACGCACGTTTTTAGCTTGGCTATTTGCATCTACAAACCTAATTCAGGGAGTTAGATTTAATCAGCAAGTAGAAGTTAACACAAGACGCTTCAGTAGCTGCCAAGGTATCTGTGAATTACTCAGTTCCAGACTGAGTGAATGAAAAAGATGCTGTGGAGATGACTTTCAAATCCTAACACCTGTGGATTTATATTCTTTATTTTAAATAATACAGCTTACTTATCTTTTAATAAAAACTAAAAAAATTAGTTATCCTCAGTACATATTTTGTGGTTGTGGGTTTTTTTTATACCTGTCCTAAATATATTTCAGCATTAAATGATAAATTAGAAGCCTTTTGACATGTCTGCTACTAATGGAATGATATGTTTATTCTATTCTGTTTTGCATTACAATGATGCTTCTTTGATTTCCAAATAAAATTGAAATCCATGAAGACTGTAATTTTAAGTCTTGTGTACTGAGAGCAAGAGGGAGCTCAGTTTGTTGACATGGAAGAAAGCTTAGAGTCGAGAATGAATGAAACTGTGCTTTTGCTTTAAATAAAAGATAAATGCTTTACTTTTAATGGAGGACACCAGTTAAAGCAGTCTAAATTTCCATGCTGCTTTACCCTGCAGTTCAGAAAGGTTTTGTTGATGCTATACGGAAGATAGTCCTACTCTTTTCATTTGTAGCAACCAGTTTTTTTTAACTATTATTACCAAGACCTGCACAGCTTCTTCCTTTATACACATATTTTCTAGTTTTAAATAGTTCAAGGGGTAGATCTTGTAATAGACAAAGATACTTCAATCCATCTCAGTAAATATTTGTACATTGGCACTTAGGGACATGGTTTAGTGGTGGACTTGGCAGTGTTAGGTTTATGGTTGGACTCAACGATCTTAAAGGTCTTTTCCAACCTAAAGGATTCTATGATTCTATTTATGCCTGACCTCAAATAGCTAAATCGCTTTGATAAGAACGCAGCTTTCAAGATCCCTTTTTGTTTTCATCTTGTCAATGATCTGTTTATTTTATTTTATTTTATTTTATTTTATTTTATTTTATTTTATTTTATTTTATTTTATTTTATTTTATTTTATTTTATTTATTTTAACCCTTTTTTGGCTATTAGCATAACTTGGATATGTTGCTTAAGTGGATAGAACTGAACAAAATTATATATCTTTTTTTCACATACACGAGGTAAAAAAGATTGTCCTCTTTGTGAATGATTAGCATAGTACGTCATGATAGCCTTGTACTCATGGGCAATATGGAGATGAATTTGTTTTCCAATGGTAATGTTCATATGCTTCATGTTAAGTCATTAAGAAATGTCACAACTTAAAATTTTAGAAAGTTTGCTGCATACAAAAATGTATTTTGGATGCCATGTCTTCAGTCATGTGGAAAGTTAATGAAGTTGTATATGTCCTGTAATATTTATAAGTCTTTATTTTCAAAGTTAATTTCAGAAATAACTAAGAGCATTCTGTTTTCTGCAGTACTTCGGAAGCTTGCTTGTAATATTCTGTGTTGAATTGGCCTGTGGCGTTTGGACCTACGAGCAGGAAATAACGGTGAGTCAGAAAAGGAGGCTGCATTTTTTCAGCAGAAGAAAATGAAGATTTCCATTAGCTAGCTGTTTTCTCATTGCTGTAGTGTTTATCTTTGTTCGTTATTCTAACAGTCTAGTTTCATGTGACTGCCTTTTTTTTAAACAGAGTATTCTTTGGGGAAAGTTTGTCTGTCTGGAAGATCCTCTCTAGATTTCTCTCCACCTCCTCTATATTTGAAAGCCAAATCCTGCAGCCCCTGATTTAAGGACTTTATTTTTAGTTAATTGTTGCTTGGGCAGGTTCTCGTTGAAGTCAGTGGAAGTTTTGAAGATAAAGTATGAACTTCAGGCTTAAGTATTTCAAGGGAGGAGATGTGAGAATTTGAAGGGATTTTGCCCCAAAAGTTCTTGATGTTTTAAAGAGCTATAGTTTACATTGTAAACAGACAGTGTGTTCTTTCAATAGAGGACTTGATGTCTGCCGAAATCTTTGTGCTGCCTCCACAAGCTATAAATGCCAGTTTTAAGCAAAACCTGTCTTAGCTATAAAACACTCTTCTGTAAACTTGTGAAGAGGTTTTATCTCGTCTAGTTTTTATAGCTATACCAACCTGTAATTTTCAAACTGAAAACTTGTAACTATCACACAAGAAAAGGGGTAAGTGTTGAGCAGAAATTAAACTGAAAGGTTATTCTGCTGGCTGCTATATCCTTACGTCTTGTACTCAGTCTGGTGCATGTTTATGAATAGAGGCACAAATACTTTCTCTGAGCTGCCAAGATATGCCCAATATACTGATCTTTCCAATACTGTGTAGAAATTACATTGCAGTAAGATGGGAGGGAGCCTTCTTGGTATTTACACAGTACTGGGACCAAAGGAATTTCTGGCAGATTGGAAGTCTGAAGTTACGTGGCAGCACTTTACATCAGCATTCATTCCCTTGCGGTACAGATTCCAGAGGGGTGTTCTAACATAACAGCGATTAAGGCTATCCCTTTACTTTAAATGTCAGCTTACAGTGATGCATTTTAAAACTGGGGATGTGGACAAGAGGCATGCTTCATCCTATGGGCACAGCTGCCCTCTGCGGGGGTTTTGCCAAGGATGACAGTTACAACTAACATCCATCTTTCCACAGAAATCTTGCCAGTGGAGACTGCCTGAAATAACATAGCCTTCAGAGCACTCGTACATGCTTTCTCCAGCCTTCACTACTCAGTTAGAGAACCCAAAGTTACGGTGCGTTTTATTCTGACCCTCAAGCTTTCAGTTACCTGCTATGCTACTGAAACCCAAACTTGGGACAGTTTGATAAAAGCTGGCATAGCTCTACCAAGTGTTAAGGCACTGGTGATGCTGCTTCCCTCCCGAAAAAAACCACATCTGTGCCTGCACCCCTTTGCCGAAAGCAGCAGCACTGAGTTCGATGTCCGCACCTTCTGCAGTGGATCACAGTGAACTCAGATACTCCACACTCCTCCAGTTCTTCCTCTTTCTCCCAGGAGTTCAAGTGTATGAACATGAGCATGCAAATAGAACAGAAAAAAATCTCTTCAGCATCTGCTTTTCTTTTTTTTTTGTCTCTTCTCTCCCTTTATATGTTTTTTTTATTCCTCCTCCCCTGAAGTACTGGGTTTTTTTGTTTTCTCTTCCCATCTGATTTCTTCTTCATATTCCCTTTGTCCTAACAGTACTGCTCTTCACATGACGATGTGGGCCAGACTCGGGTTTCTTGCTGCCGAGACCCGTAGGGAATTTGACAACCTGGAAGAGCACAGTTGTTTTTCAGTGGTTCTCTCATACCTATGCATGTCACTTCCCTAGAGGATGCTTTCTCCTACTCTGCTTGATAAAGATAAGAATTCTCCCTCTTACACTCATGTTATGTTGGTTTCAGCATAGCATGAAATCACAGGAGCCCCTGGCAGGTTTCACAGAATCAGTTGGTGTTAGTGTAGGTGGGTGGGTGATGTTGTCAAAAATGTCACCGAGGCATAACGGCCTTTACTAATCCAATGTGGGCTCTCCTTGGCGTGTGGACAAGTCGTTGTAAGAGTCCTTGTATAAACAATTTTCCTTCCAGCTTCTGATAGCTCTCAGCATGAAGTGTGCCTCGTGACTAATTTATTCCACCCGCAAGACTGAAGAGCCAGTGTGGGATCTTGGCTTACTTGGGCATTGGTCAAGCCTTGATACTCATTAGAAAAATAATAATAAGTAGATCTCAGTGGCTAACTGAGCTTTACAGAACTTACACTAAAATCAAACCAGCATCTCTAGTTTTTGCTTGTCTGTGCGTTACAGAAAAGTGTTGGTGTATAGTCAAACAAATGCATCTCAAGATCATATATTATTATTGTGCACTACTGTGTGCATGAGCTGATGGGAAGCTATTTAATAGATCCATCAATGTCCTTAGTTTGATGTGTTGGCATTCTTGGAGCAAACACATAGGTTCCAATATCCCTCCTTAGTTCCAGAATTCAAATTGCCTTCTTACAGTGGGTTTTAGTTTGTTTTGACTTGCCTTTAATTTCCTTCTCTCACTTCTTGATTTCCCCTTGCCCCCCCACCCCCCCGCTTTCCATTGTTTTCATAAAAAGTTGGACGCCTTGTGTTATGTGCGTAACCTTGGACTGTATTCAACTCAAATAAGATAATAAAAAAATAGTCTAGCAAATAGGAGCTTAATTGCAGCGATATCACATATCTGAAGAAAGTAGAGTGCTAACTTCCAATGCAATGGCAAGAGCAGTGCATTGAGTACAAAACCAAATTATTTTATTATAGTGACCGGTGTAAATGTTTATGGTATAAATATTCTGTGGTATTGTTTTAAAATAGTTCTAGTACTCTATTGCTAACATATTTTTCATGTGGACAATTCAATGCTTTATAGCTTAAGAAATAAAAATTCTGTTAAGTGAAAGGACTGTTAAATTTCTGAGATACTGTTAATATATTCCTATTCATGATAAATGAAGCTTTACCAGGGTATCAAAAATGTAGTATAACTTAACAGCAGTAAGGAAATATTATCAAATGGGCGTATTTGGATTACGAGGTCAGTCAGGCAGTGATTGTCCCTGTATTTTTGCAGTGCGTCTAGCACAACAAAAACCAGACTCCCTGGGAAGTATTGTGATCATTTTTTTCCTAGCTAACATTTATTGTTATTTGCAGAAGCCCTTACTGTTGGCTCCAAATAGAACGGGACGGCTGAGTCGCAGCCACTAGCGGAGGTGGGCTTCCCTGCCCTCCCAGTGAAAGAAAGCTGATAATTGCAATAGTATTGTCTTTCACCATGGCCATTAAGGCCTATGGGAGCAAGGCAAAACGCAACATGAATGGTATGTGTGTCTAGAACGGCGACTGCAAAGTGTTCAGCTCCTTATTTGAGTTTGGCACACTGAAATTTGTGCTGCTGAACAGAAGTTACTCTCTTATTTTGACTCTTAACTGCATTATATGCCCGGTGCCATAGCACTAGCCAGTATTGTTTCTAACAAATCACTACCTGAGGGTCATAGTCTGACAATGGAGAGCACCAGCAGCTCACTTCTGAGTAGTCAAATTTGAAAGTAAGATATTTTGAGAATCCTTCTTTCAGAAGAAAAGACTTACAAGGTCATGAGTGTGTGTGAAGAAAAAGGTTCACAGGGCCTCATTGTCTATGTTTTCTTGTTCATGTTCTTAAGCAAGATACTAGAATCGAGTACATTGTGGATTCCTGTGTGCAGGACTCCAGGCAAAGCCAGAAGGCCACTGAAAAGACTCTCAGGGTAGAATTCATCTCAATTAATTTTAAATATTTAGAAGTTAGACATTTAAATCCAAGTCGGTCACCTTAGACAGTGAAGTGGACTTGAGACTTGAAGAGAATGATTCATCTACTCTGTTTAAACTATTTGTCTTGACATGAATTTCCCCATAAAGCTGCCTGTTTCTTTCTCTTGACTAAGAAAACACTGGGAGATACCTCAACTGAGGCAGACAAATGCCTGCCCTGATGACTTGGATGGGGCTCGGTTCAAGTTTTATGCCAGGTAGAAAAATCTAGTAATGAGACAATGAAATTGTCCTCAGCTATCTCCAAATCTCTCCAAAATGCAGCTCCTTTTCTAGTGTACATTAATTTGTAAGCAAAGAATGCAAACAACTTTTTCTTGATATTTTAATAAAGGCTTATAAAGTTTCATTATCATAAAAACTGAAGCACTTGTTTTTCTGTTTTATTTGCATACAAAGTTATTTTGGTCTTTGCACTGGAAAGATCTCAGAATAGATGGAAGTTCTGGGTTTAGAGCCACAAACCAGCTGATCTGTTGCATGAATCACTTTTCTTTCCTTACTCCAGGTTCCAGTGCAGTGGTCCGATATGATCACGCTGAAAGCCAGGATGACCAATTACGGCCTACCTAGGTACCAGTGGCTGACCCATGCTTGGAATTTCTTCCAGAGGGAGGTAAGATGACAGTTAATTTGTAAGCTGAAGTAATGCATGTTCGGTAAACATTATTTATCTGTTAAAGGAAAAGGTTTGGTTTTAGGTGAACACCAGGTAAAGAAATACAAGTTCATTTCATGTGAAACCCTGCGTAGTGATGATATCTTTTAACATCACTTGATAACCAACTCTTGAGCTTTTGTAGGCCCTAAAGACACTAAAACACCAAAAAAAGAACAGTGCTGAATTCAGTTAAATTGCTAACACTGTCTTCTCCTTTGCCAGTAAGGTTAGGACGCCAACACCTTTTAGGATTATTACAACATTTAACAATATGATGTATATAAACTTTAAAATCTGCAGGTAAAGTAAATGAGCATTTCTATATGCTCTTTTAATATTAAACTGTGTTCCCTTTACTGTAGGTTCTGTTACTTTTCTTTCATGGAGCTGTCATGGTTAAGATAGGTGTTTAGCTGGAAATGACTGGGAAGGGAAGTTTCCAAAAAGATGCCAACACTGTTTCTTTGGCTGTGGTTTGAGAAAGTGATCAGGGTTTTTATTTCCTTTGACTGGAGGGGTGAGAAACAAACCAAAAAGCTTCCTTATGTATTCACAGCTTTGCCCTCTAGCCTACTAAAATTCAGAACTGTTTTTAAAGAATGAAGTATTATGTTACAAAAACATGAAATTGCCCAAGGTAAGACCCATTAACTCCAAATATAACTCACGTGCAGGAAGAGAACTCTTTAAATGCCTGTCATTGTGCTGCCCTTGTTGAAATGTTGAAATCTATCATTGTTGCACAGATTTCCTGTTTATTTAAACATTTCCTGGCAGCACTTGGTTAGTCTATATTTATATTAAAACCTGAAAGGAGGAGTGAGGACTACATGAGGTTAAACAGCCCCCACCCTCCCCAGTGCCCTGCTCTGGCTGTGCAAGTGGTCTGTGAAACAGAGTAATTCTTCATACACAGGTAGAGTGTTTGTGTCTGTTCTGTACCTGAGATAATATAATCAAATGATCTTGATTTCCTTGGATAGAGCTGGTACTGTATCTTGGTTCTAATGCGTGTGTTGATTAAATTAAAAGCTGCCTCTTATCCTCCTGGTTGTTGTAGTGTCATCATAATGACTGGTTTTAATATGAATATTAGTAATAAAACTTCACTATGCCTTAACTCTTCCAGGGGAGAAAAAGTTCCTTTTAGAAGTTAGATTTCTTCTATTCTGTCTCTGACCAGAGGAATGATGTGGGGAAAGTTTGAAGTGAACTGTGAAGGCTCTTTCACAGCTCCTGATTAATTGGTGGACTCTCATTTTTATTCTGTCTACTCATAACTCAGGTGGTGGATGTGTGAGCCTGGTATGTGCTTTATGCCTGAATAAGCACTGTGCTTGCGGCCCTTCTTCAGTCAGCGTTACAATTTTTTTCCTAAAGAAAAAATTTGTTATTACAATTTTGTTCCCAAACATTCAGCCCTGATCAACTTTTTTCTATTTCTTCTGTGTTTTTTTAACATCTGAGAGAGATGGGAAACGTATTTTCAGCCCACCCACCTTGCTGGTCTAATATCACAGTTGTGACTATGCTAAGGAAGATGGGCAGGGTCAGTTGAAGTCAAGAAGGAAGAACTAGGTGAGGGAGAAAAGATTTGAAAGTAAGAAAAGGATGTTTAATGCGGTTGTCTTTGTAATTACAATGAGGAACCAGACCTTGAGCTTTCCTTAGAAAGTCCCATTTTGAGAGGATTTTGACTGACTAATGGACTGATAAAACCAGAGACATTAAAGCTGTGGTGAAAAAGGAAGAAGTGAGATTTATAAGGAGACTGGTGAAGTCAAGGCACGATGTGTGCCACTGTGGTGTCTGTGCACTGATCTGCTTGATTGTGACCAAGAAGTGGTGTGATATACAGGACCCTGGCTCTGAAGTGGGTAAGGGGGGCAAATGTTCCCAAGCTCATGGGTCAAAAGAACCAGGTGATGAGTTACAAACACTTGAACTGATACTTGAGAACATCCAGACAGAAAAAAGCAGCATCTTGTTCCTGCAGCAAGGCTTTTTTTCAGTCATATCAAGTCCCCATCCAATGCTGAAGAAAATCTAATGTAGCTGCTTCAGCTCTTTTTTATGCAGAAAGCATCTAGGAATGTGGTAGGCTGGTCGTTTGGCTTTAAATCTCTCAGTGTGCTTTGCAGAGGAGAAGACAGGTTGTTAGTCCCGGTGGTTTTTATAGCCAATTATGGCTCATCTGCTTTGCAGCCAGACTTCCTACTTTTATGGTTGATTCTGTTGCAGTGTTTATTTTAGTGGGATACCCCTTCCTTCCATTTTCCTTTTAGCATTTGTGATTCTATACATTTTTGCTCACTTTTAAAATCTTTTTTTTTTCTTTTTTCCGTATTCATATAAATCTATACTTTTTCTCATCTGGTTTTCAACAAATGTGTACGTAGTTGTTGCCTTGCAGGAATAGTCCTCACTAGTAAGACCTGCTTAATCTTTTCCTACCGCTTCCTTCAACCACAGGTATACTTGTTCGTTAGTCACCCTTTTGACATGAAATTATCATATGTTAATTCCTTGGAGTAGGGACAGTAGAATTACAGGGCAGGATAATTTCTGTTAAGCATCCTTTGAGGGAGCAGTTGGGATTTAAAGGACAGAGCAATATCATTGGCTGTTTCTGAGATGTTCATTGGTCACTGCATTACATTTTTCATATTGCTTTTATGTCAAAGTAGAGCAGAAGATGATACACGGAAACTCTTGTAGATGTTTTTAGTCCTATGTAAATATTTTGAAAGTTGTTAATAGGAATTTATTTAGCTTGTTTGATGACCTACTGTTACGAAGAAGTAGCATCATTATTGCTGATCTTGGCTAATCCTTCCTTTGCAGTTTAAATGTTGTGGGGTGGTGTACTTCACAGACTGGCTGGAAATGACAGAGATGGACTGGCCGCCTGACTCCTGTTGTGTCAGAGAGTTCCCAGGATGCTCTAAGCAGGCACATCATGAGGATCTCAGTGACCTTTATCAGGAGGTAAGAAGAAAAACGTAGACATTTCAGAAGGCTTTGTAAATTCTTCCTGATCCTGTTATTTTCCAAACTCATGACTTCCAGTGCAGCGGAAAGGTTTGTAGACTAATTGTATTCATAGAAAGTGTTTTCTGTTTATGTTTATGCTTGTTATTTATTAATGCTGAAGCGAGAAGAGGAAGGAAGAAAGAACGAATCCACCCTTACCTGGAAGTGAGATAAGTTAGTAGCAATGTAGTTAGCATGTGAGATATGCTTAAACATTGAGATACTTGGTTTTGGTTGGTTAGGTTGGAGTTGAAATTTGCTCCAATCAAAAAATAAAAAATTAGTTTCGGTGTAATGTCCAGTCCTTAGCTTGCCAAACTAAGATAAAGTCTACTCACTATACGATAATGAGGACTCTAGTGGTATGTGCAGTGAAGGATGCTTTTCAGAAGTCCTTTGGAAGATGAGAGCTCTCTTGTTAACGGGACTCAAGCAAGGAGGCTGGTAATTCAGTTGCTTCGCTGTGAGCATGCATAGAAACTTTGTGTGAAAATTCTCTTTCTTGCTAATTCTACTACATTAAAGTACAATTGTTATGTTGAAAGAATTTTTAAGAGTCTTAAAACCAGGAGAGGACCTATTTGAACTCAAAGTGAGTAAGGAAGGAGATCATGGTAGCAAGTCATTTTGTTAGGGTGGATATTATAAAAACGAATAAACATGTTCTCTACTAAAACTGTTTTAACTGTTCTCACAAAAGCGTTGTCTAAGGTCACCTTTGTCTAGAGACTGCTTTGCTACTTTGCTACCTACCTTTTTTTTTTTTTTTTTTTTTTAATGCTGACAGACCTCTGAAGACCTTTAATTGTGTGTTTAGCAATATCAGAATGACCAACAGTCCAGGTAGTCCAGTAGTGGAAAAAAAACATGTCTCAGTCAAGTAGTTACGAGGATCTGAGAAGTGCATTCTTTGTTCGCTTGCTTTAAGAGTAATATAGAATGCATAGGAAGGAGGATGGGCCTGAGAAGCGTGCCTTCAGATGCTGCAGCATGAACATTTCTCTAGTGGACAGTGCAACTCTGCGTTATGGGAGAGCACCCAAAGAACTGTTTTATCTTGTCCCAGTCTCTGGCCATTGTTCATGACTTTCTTACAAGAACCTCTTACGTGGTTCTCGTTCAGGAGCCATGGAGAGAAACCTCTGAAGCAGGGAAGGTTCACTACATAAACAAGCTAAGACGAGCATTAGCTATTGCCGGGAAACAATCAAGTTTTAGGGAAACGCCGTCACTGAAATGGAGTGATTTGCTAGATTTATATGGCATTGACTCTGTGAGCAGAAATGATATAATCTATTCTGGACTTTCAGACATCTATCCTAGGTCTCCTGTGCCTTCACTAGGAAGAGAGACAGTAGAGCTGCCAAAAGACAGATGCTTCAGAAGGCCAGTCTGTTCTAGGAAGCCTTAATGACAGTGGCAGAGGCTGTTTTCCACCAGCTGGTTGTAGAGCCCCTCCTGTCATGGCAAGGCTTGCAGCACAGGCAGCTCTGGTTACACTTTAGAAGTGTCAGGATCTGAATGGGAAAGCCATTCAGGCTTTTTCTAGGGCCTGCCGATCTCTTAAATCTCGAAAAAGAAAGAACTGTGGCTCACTCTCAGTGATGGTTGTTTTCTGTAATGCAGTTGCCAATATTGATACCATACAGCCCAACTCTGCTGTAGAGAGCCCTCAAGGAGACTAAATGTATGGAAGCTGCAGAACATTCATTTTCCCTGAGCATCCTTCCTGCTTATGGGAAAAGGCAAGAGTACGTAAGCAAGCAGTGCCACTTAATAAAAAACTAATTTTTGAGCTCAGGAAGCTCAAAAATTTCTGAGAAGCAGTACTAGTCACTGGAGTGTCTTGTCTAAACTGCATGGTTATCTCATGTCTTCTCTTCTGTTAACAATTCCTTCCCACAGCCACATTCCAGGAAAGTGGTTTTCTGTGCACTTTTATGTTCAGGTTGTTTTGGTTCTACTTGGAGAAAATTAATAGACGAAGATGATGATAATGTAGAACATAAGGGCAATGTTAGGACCCACTTGATAAAGGCAAAGCCTACCTGGCTTTTTTTCTGAAAGAAACCTGAAGGGCACATCTATAGTTCATCCCCTACCATACCCCAGAGTATTTTGGATGGATCCAAGTCTTAGCAAAAATTTATTTTTTGTTTGCTATTGCAAAATCCCTTCCAAAAAGGGACAGACTTACCAGCCACAGAAATACTCTGTTGCTCTTTGAGATCTGTAAAATATTTGGTTGGCAAAACATTGTTTTTCCATGGTGCTTGCCTGTGAGTTGTCTCACAGGCTCGTACAGTATACTTGCTAATATGTTTATCAGTATCCTGCAAAACCAACTTGTACTTGCGAGTCTAATCTGTCTGACTTCAGCTTTGGAGAACTGAAGAAGAAAAACTTTTTTAGAAAATGATTCAAAACGAACTTGTGTAGTTGTCTGGTTTGAGAGGGAGCCTGATGAGATTAGCCTCGCTAGCCTAAAATTGGCTTATGTAAAGGCTTCCCAAGTCCAGTCTGGTACTTCAGAAAAATTCTTTGTAGTACTTCAGAAAACTTGAAGTTTGGTTTGTCTGGAATTGATAAAATTGTTTTGTTGTAGCTGTGCTGTAATTTTCTGCTGAGATCTCAGAGCTTTCGGTAGTCTAAGTTGGAATCCTTCACGATACAATTTTTGTAGAAAGATGGCTTACTTAGCGTTTGCTTGAGAGCATTTTTGGCAGGAATCACATTTCTCCAGCTGGATTTTGAAAGCTGTTTTTCAAATGTGTGTCTTCTTGGACTGCTTTTGTTCTGATGAGCTTCACCTTTGGTGCAGTTTGTGGAACAGACTCACTTTAGAAAGAGCGTGCTTGTGAGGGGGCTGCAGCAGATGATGGTGTGTGTGGCCTTGGAGGTTCATTGTGGTCTGAGGACAAGGGGAGCTCTGCCTGTCTTGTCATTGGGAACTATAGCCTGATGATTGGTAGGAGTTAATATCTTCAGAAAAATCAAAATTGCAGGTTCAGTATTTTTTCTTTTGTTTTCTAGCATAATTTTGAATATACTCAAAATTTGAGTGTACAACAGATCTGTTGAATATGCTGATGGTTTATCTTTTCTACTCTGAGAAGTGCCTTATTTAAGATCTGGTCCTTATTCTATGATGTTGCAGTAAATCAGAAATATATGCTTTGTTTCCATTTTAAGACTGAAAATATAAAATGGCCTTTGTGATAAATATGAATCAGGCTTTTAATCCATAGCTCTGCAGGAGTTTGAAGCTAATTCTTCTGAATGATCGCTGCAAAGTTCTATACTATTTTTGAGTTGTCAACAAGAGCTCTCTGTTTAGTGACAAACTTTTACTTTTGCTGAGGACAGTATATTTATGTACTCTAATTGCAGGCTACCGACTAGGAATGTGTTGCATAAGCAGAAATAAAATGCATGAATGTGAGGATAACAGGGGTGGCTGGATATTTCTCAATTTTGAAACTGATTTTGAACGTGTATTAGAGCAGAACTGTAAGAACATCATTAAATGGAGGGAGGCAGTCTATCTAGATTGGGCATAATTTGTCTCAGTTATGTGTCTGTACTGCAGGAGATGTAGGCATTAATGTTATTGTTCTCTGTTAATGGATGTTTCCTCTAGGCAACAAATGAACTGAATTTGAATACTGCTGTGGTTGAGCGTTTTTAATTTGTGATCAGCATGTACCTTCATCTCTTAAAGTTATCAGAAGTATTAAAATGCAGCCAGTTTCTCTGTAATTAAAAACAAATTTGGAAAGTAGTGTAATTACAACACTGTCTTCTAGTTGAAGAAAAAAGACACCAACGTGACAATTTTTGTTCCTCATCAAGTTCAATTACTTTGCTTTTGCTACAGTGTTGGGTTTTTTCTTTTCAAATTTCAGAGAATCCACGTTTACTCCTTTTTCCATGTCTAAACTATGTTAATGTTTAGAAAATGACACAGTGAAATGATGAACGGAGCAAAGACACTGAGATTATTTAACTTACTCTAGTACAATTATCATATAGTACATTAATTTTATTTAGGTCCTAAATGAAAATATGTAGACTGCAATGTGAATTTTGTGTGTGAGGCAAGAATCAAGCCTTTCATCAAATACATTCAGGACTGTAGCATTTGAGATTGTTGACTTTGGGGGATTTCAGTATGATTGAAAAGTGTTATTTATCACGTCCTGTCTTCAGATTCTTTCATTTGAATCAATTGTTTTCTTTTCAAAGAAAAGCCGTAAGAAACACGTAGTAAGGATATAAATGCAAAAATGACATTTTGAAGACGGTGCCCATTTTAATGGGTTCCTGGTGTCTTCTGCTGGGACCAGTGCCTGTTGGTACTCGTGGTGTTATCCCATCCAGTTTGTTGCTCTGAATTTTCCCATGGTGGCTGTGGTCCTTTGATTTTTGTGCTGTGACACCCTGCGAAGTTTAGAATAGAGAATAAGCATGGGCCAGAGTAGCTAAGGGCCCTCTCTTCAAGGTTTTATCCTAAGACTGGACATCACCTTTTCTGCGCAACAAGCATCATAGCATTTGCACTGTTATCCAGTAGTTCCCAGAGCCGGTGTTCCTTTGTGAATCCTTGCTGCCTTACGAGGACTTGGGAGCTTCCCTGAAGCCTTGTAGAGTAATTAGTTGGCCACGTAAGCAAACTGTGGAGCATGCACTGCTGGTTTTGAAACAGCTAAATTTCCATTTCTGGGAAACATCCACTTGTGATGTTTTAACATTGTTTTCATCAGACTTCTTCTGTGTAAATAATGATTATTATTATAATTCTGTAAATAATTGCGGAGGTACTATATGTGACCATGATCCTAATACAACATGTGGATGGTCAGCTCCTTGGAGCAGGGTCTGGCTGCTGCCTGGGTTTGTCTAGAGCCTGATGCAGGGCAGGTTTTAGCTACTCTCACAGCAGTTAATGTTTGGGACGTTACAGTGCGTTAAGTAGCAACAGCCCAGCACAAGATATGAGATAAAACTGAGTCTTGGTGTAATACCATCACAGTAATCGACAGAAATTTCTACATTCAGACCAGAAATAAAGCCAGTTAATTTTAAAATACAGTCTATGGATAGGGGAGGTAAACGGAGGGTAACTAGCATAGAAGAATACACTTTTTGTAATGAGGAGATGCTTCTAGTTCAAGAATAAAAAGCAGGAATAATGCCACATGTACATGGTATTAGTACCACTAAGTACTAAAGAAAGTCTGTTAGTACCCACTGCATTCTGGAAATTTGTCAGAAGTCCTCTGTTAAAGGTTATTCTGTTCGATGCTCCTTACTCAGACAGTGTCTCGAAAGTAATGATTTTTCTACTCCCTAGAGACTTTCTGTGGAACTAATAAACTGGCATATAATGAGTCCAGATAAAACACTAAAAAAGAAAAGGTGGGAAGAAACACTGATGAGGTTATTCAGGTCTGTAGATCTTTCCTAGAATATTGTTTTATCTTCAGATTGTGGTATTATTTGTAGAAAAAGTCTAAAGAGTTTAAAATAATTGACAACCTTGAAGATCTGCAATTTAAGGAGAGAAACAAGATGATTAAGAGGACTTAATGGCTTTTAAACCTTCACAAAACCAGTTGAGTTTCTTTAAAAATCACAAAAGCGATAGTTGATAGGAACTCAGATCAACTTTGAGTGATTTCTGAATTGAAGAGTAACATAGATCTCTTGGAGCTTGTTACATGCACTAAACTCTCAGTGTATGAGAAAACATAAAGATGTCATTATGGAAGCAATTAAAAAGTAGACAAAATAATTTTAAAAGTATTGTTTGAAGGAGGTGATTGAGAAATTCTGGGGAGGCAGAAAAGCTAGAACTAGGTAGGATGAGCTAAACCTTGGGAACTGCAAACCAAATAGTATTGACTAATTTTTGTAATCTATTTTTGTTTCATAGGGATGCGGTAAAAAAATGTACACTTTTTTGAGGGGGACGAAGCAATTGCAAGTGCTGAGATTTCTAGGAATCTCCATTGGAGTCACGCAGATCCTGGCTATGATCCTCACTATTACTTTGCTGTGGGCTCTGTACTACGACAGAAGGGATCCTGGGGCGGATCAGATCATGTCCCTGAAGAGTGACGCCTCGCAGCAGCTGTCGTGTCATTCTGTGGAGCTACTGAAACCAAGCCTGACAAGAATCTTTGAACACGCGTCCGTGGCGAACAGCTTTAGTACACACTTTGAAATGGAAGAGCTATAGGTGATGCAATGAGTCCGAGAAGTCACAAAGGTTTTTAACTGGGGTTTGTTGGTTTTATTCTGTTCGATCAAGTGTGCCATATATATCTGTCTTCATATGCTTCAGAAAACAGCTAAGGAACGGAAGTGGAGGAGACCAGCACATAAAGAAGGATAAGCCTGTCGGCCTCTTAGCTGTGGCCTCGGCCATGAAACAGAGTAGATTTTGTTTGTTTGTTTCTTTGTTTTTTAAAAGGCACTCATTCACTGGGCACGGTAATATTTAACTTCCTGTCACAAGCTGTGTGATGTGTAAAATACTGATTCATTCGCAGGCAGACAGAACCTCTACGGAAGCTTCACGGGAAAGGAAGAGAAATACTTGTCTTCTAAGGAAACAACTGTGCTTTGGACAAACAAAATGTGACTTCAGCTGAAATTGACTTTTACGTTTTTAATAAGCCATTTGGAAAATGTCTTAATCAGGGATCTATGTTTATATAATTGTGTGTTTTTGTGTGTGCATGGAAAGCAGAACTACGATTCAAGTCAATACTTGGATTTAAAAAATTGCAAGATTGTAAAAAGGGCAAGATTTTCTTTTTTCTAACGAAACTTTTATCCTAGCTGTTGTTAAAGATGTTCTAAAACTTCTATTTTTATCTAACATAACTGTTCAATTTTAGATTTTAAATATATTAAACAGGGATTAAAAACAAAACTATGACTCTGGACAATAGACTTTAATTTTCTGACTAATTCTGGAGAATTCTTCTTTGAAACACTTTGTTCTGTGGACTATTTCTTAGTAAAAAGAAGAGAAAGAAAACCTTAAACGTTCTTTCCAAAATGGGAATCAGTATGGGAGTAGCACATTTTTATAGTTAAATATTTTCTCCTGTCTGTGATTCCCCTGAAGGTAGAAAGAAAAGACTACAAGGAAAATGCTTACAGTTCTGGATGCTATTGCAATAATTGTAAAAGTACATAAGGAGAAATTATACTTTGGCTTCTTCATTAAGAGCTCTCTAGTGGCTTAAAATGCCAACTGGAAACAGCGTTAAAACGTATTTATTGAGGTGGGGAAAGTGCATTTTACTGTATTTTTATGGACAATGTTTATTTCATAGGATTATTTTTACAGTTGGCCACGCTCCTGAAATATGTATTTGTTCCAATGATTACAGTAGTTTGTGGCAAATCGATTTTTACATAATATCACACTAAAAAAATTCTTTAATTTGTTTTGGAATTTGTAAAAGAAAAGAAAAAAAAGCAAGGTGTGATTTGGTAGACAATAAAATTACTTTTGTCCTAAACTCCAAAATGTTTTTTTTTTTTTTTAAGTCCTAGAGTGTGAATGCTTTGGGTGGAAGTTGGGAGGATCCTCCTGCTAGTGCGAGTTAATTTGTTGTGTCTTTACCCATTCCGTTTATTCTGTGGTAGAGAAACTGCATTGTAAATTTCATTTTCTTTTTTTATTGCCTCTGAGAAAGCTTCTTAAGGGCTCATGAAATTAAGCTCTTCAGTTGTGTGGGCTGGTTTTTGTTTTTAGCAGTCTATGTGTGGGTGTAATTATTTCACGGGTGGTATTGCAAGCAAGATTACCTTTCTGCTTTTCTACCTCTCCTACAGAGATGCTGACACTTATTTTGGGAGGTAAGAAAACAGCTAAAGGATAGACCTTTCTAGAATTTTGCTTGGAGTATCTTCGTCAGAAATACTTTATCATGCACCATTCTGGGAGTGTTATTGTCCAGCGTTACTGCAGGCTTCCATCCTTCCCATCGCTTAGCATGGGCAGTGTTGCTGTAGCTAAGGGTGAGGTTCCTATGCAGAAAAAGAGCAGGTGTCTGAGAAAGCCTGGATGTAGACCAGCTCTAGGCTTTGGAGTGCTGCAGGGGACTGTGGTGCTACAGAGTGAATTGAGACATTGTTGTTTTTTACCCTGAACAAGTCACAAACTGTGGAATCTTTTGTTTATGGATTGCATGTATATAGCTCCGTTCAGCTGTGGATTACAGCTGGATGTAGGGAATTTCACCATAAGTAATGAAAAAAAAAAAAAAAGGACGAAAAGAAGTCCTGCCTTTTGTCCAGGAAATCTTGATGCTTAAAGTTTTATCCAAGGAGTGTCTATGGAAGCTCCCTTAGCCATGCCTCAGCTATCCCGAGTCCTCCCACAGGAGGACTCCCCAGGCTCCCAGTGAAGGTTCTCTGTGTATCCTCTCAAGCCCAGGTTGGAGCTCATGAAGGAACAACAGAGAAACCTCTGGAGAGGTGTGCTGCTTACCCGGGGCTCGTATCGGGGATGTCAGCAAGAGACAACCAAGCCTCGTACAGTCCACTGACTATTATCCGCTGCTGTTGGGCGCTGCACCACATGGGCACTGGTGGTACAGCCAGGAGCAGTCCGAGGAGTATCAAGAAGGATTACAGAGCCCTGGGAGCAGCGTTAAGGGACTCCAGAGCGCAGGAAGTTTTTGCATCAGTCCTTCCAGTCAAAGGGAAGGGGCTTGAAAGGGCCAGTCAAGCCTGATGAATCAACAAATGTTTACGGGGCTGGTGCCACAGCCAAGGGTTTGGCTACTTAGACCATGGGACCGGCTTTGAAAAACCTGTTCTACTGGGGGCTGATGGGGTCAGCCTCAGAAGCGGAAGAGCATGTTGGGTCATAGGCTTGCCGAGCTGGTGAAGAGGGCTGTGAACTGAAGTTGCCATGGGAGGGGAACCTCAGTCCATCTCTCTCCTACCAGTTTGATGTCAGTGTCAGCAATAGATGCCCAGAGCCTGGAGAAGGATCACAGGTCAGCAGGAGAGCACCTGAGGAGCAGCGCAAAGGAATTCCAGCCAGTAAGTCAGCTTCAGCGAGGGCCCAATTTAAATGTCGCTGTGCCAACACGTGTAGCGTGGGTGTTGTTTAACCTGGCTGGCAACTAAACACCATGGGGCCTCTCTCTCATTCTCACCCACCCCCGAGGAGTGGGGAAGAGAATTAAAGGGAAAAAGGGAAGGAGACTCATGGGTTGAAATAAGAACAATTTAATAATAATAATAATTTAAAAGTAATAATGATAAGAATATATGAAAATATATGTAAGTAATGATAGTATATACAAACAAGTGATGCACAGTGTAGTTCCTCACCACCTGTTGACGAACACCGGTCCTATCCCAGCAAGCGATCCTGAAGCAGTAAGTCCTGACACCACAATCCCAGAAGAGTGAGAGGCTCAGAAAGAGAGAGAACTCCGAGAGATTGAGAGTCTGAGAGAGCTATCAGAAGAGGAGTTCCGAAATTTCTGATCCACCCTCATCTCTATCTGGGCATGATTTTGCATGATATGGAATTGGCCAATTTGGCCCTCAGTCCTAAATCCAAGTTCAAGTCATAAGGGAAGTTGTGGACCCTCTGTCCCGGCTGTGCTCCCCCCTATCCTGTTGTTCACTGGCAAGAACACGGGAAGCTGAAAGGTCCTTGGTGTCTCAGTGCCAACTATAAACATCAGTGCGTTATCAACATTCTTCTCATAGCAAATCCCAGACTAAAACCAAAACACAGAGCTCCTCTAGCTGTTAAAAACTAACTCTGTCCCAGTCAAAACCAGGACAATAGGGAATAAATGTGAGGAGTTACAAATGTGCACATACCTGCAAGGTTATGATCCTACTGACGTCACAGAGACATGGTGGGATGGCTTCTATGACTCCAGTGTCGGAATGGAAGGATTCAGGTTCTTTATGAAGGACAGGCAGGGGAGACAAAGAGATGTCACCCTCTATGACAATGACCAGCTGGTATGCATGGAGCTCCATCTGGGGATGGATGAGGAGCCAACTGAGAGTTTATGGGTCAGGATAAGAGGGAGGGCAGGGACAGGTGACATTGTAGTTGGGGTCTGCTACAGGCCACCTGACCAGGAAGACTGAGCAGATGAGGTTCTCTATAGACAGATAGGAGCAGCCTCATGTTGACGAGCCCTGATTCTCATGGGGAGCTTCAGTCACGCTGATATCTGTTGGAGGGACAAGACAGCAGGGCAGAAGCAATCCAGGAGGTTGTGGAATGCGTTGATGTTAACAGGGCAGTCCCAAGCACAAGTACAGGCTGGGAGAAGAATGGATTGAGAGCAGCCCAGAGGAGAAGAACTTGGAGGTGCTGGTGGATGAGAAGCTCAACATGAGCCGGCAATGTGCGCTGGCAGCCCAGAAAGCCAACTGTATCCTGGGCTGCATCCAAAGAAGTGTGGCCAGCAGGTCGAGGGAGGTGATTCTGCCCCTCTACTCTGGTGAGACCCCACCTGGAATTCAGCTCTGGAGTCCCCAACACAAGAAGGACATGGAGCTGCTGAAGTGGGTCCAGAGGAGAGCCATGAAGATGGACTGGAGCACCTCTCCTGTGAAGACAGGCTGAGAGAGTTGGGGCTGTTCAGCCTGGAGAAGAGAAGGCTCCAAGGAGATCTTATAGCAGCCTTCCAGTACCTAAAGAGAGCCTACAGGAAAGCTCAATATGAGCCGGCAATGTGCTCT